AAAGGTATTTCGACTATAGCTAGCTATATCGGTATACCCTTATCTGTGGACAATCTTACTGCTAAAAGAGCTAGATTGACTTATGCTAGGGTTTGTGTTTCTGTTTCGAAAGATTCAACTTTACCGGATGAAATTCCGATTAATATTGAAGGGGTAGATATCCAACTTAAGGTGATTTATGATTGGAAACCTAGCCGCTGTGAAGGCTGTGGATCCATGGTTCATACCTATTCTTCTTGCAAATCCAACCCAAATCCCAATCCGGTTGTCTTTCCCCCGCCTAAGCCCAGGAACAGAGGAAGGAGTACTAGCAGAAACCCAAGATCCAGAGCTCCGGCGTCGACCAAAATTCACCCCTCTCCTCCTAGGGTAATTTTGGAAAGGAAAAATGTTACCGTTGAAACCTTGCCTATTTTAGCCTCCTCAATTGAAAAGGAACCTGCTAGCCATAACAATTGCTTTCCTAATGAGGCTAATATTCCTAATCTAAACATTCCCATTGAGGAAGCTTCTTCCTCGAGCCATATCCCTCCTCCGTCTGCTAATCCCCCTATTAATGTCAGGCTATCTAATAAATTTGCGGCTCTTCAATCTGAAGAAGACCCTCAAAATCAAGAGTCTGATGACAACGATTACAATCATATTCCGAACGACATTGACAAAAAACTGGATACCCCTTCTTCACCTAATTCCTCTGTTAACAAATCCCATTCTTCTCCCGTCTCGGTGCAAACCAGAGCCAAATCTGTCAGGAAGGCAAAAAATTCAAAAAATTAATGATTTTTCCTAATATAGCTTGTTGGAATGTTAGGGGATTCAATCACCCTAACAAAGTTAAAGCTTGTCGAGAGCTTGTCAAGTCTTTTGATCTTAGTATGATTTGTATTTTAGAAGCTAAGTCCAATAATGAGGCCCTCTCGGATCCTTGGTATGTTAATTCTCACATGATTTTCAGCAATGAGAATAGTTGTAATAATTTTAGTAGTTCTAATCCTGGCAGAATTTGGTTAAAGTGGAACCCTGACTTAATTACCTTCTCCCCCATTTTCTTTTCTTCTCAAATGATCCATGGCTCTCTCTCGGTGGGCTCCCAACCGCCTATTTTAATAACCGTTATAGTCCCTGATCCTTCTCTTCCTTGGGTTATCATGGGAGATTTCAATTGTTACAGATTTGAGGAAGAGAAAGCTGGCGGGAACTGTGCTTTCCTAACCAGCTGGGTGAGCTTAACAATATTATTTTTGACTGTGGCATTCTTGATCTTTCTTCTGTTGGCCTTTTTTACACGTGGTACAACCAAAGGCAGGATTCTCCTATTCACATTAAACTTGATAGAATACTTGCTAATGATGCCTTTTTGAG